TTTTTTTTTTTTTTTTTTTAAGACCAGAGTTGGGGGAGCAAAGGTAAGATTGGTTGGAAACAAGATCACAAAGAGGACAGAAACCCAAACAAATTGCAAAATCAATTGAAACGATTGTCCGACATGCTCATGACAATTATCAAAAACATTCAACATTTTTCTTCCATCTCATAACAAAGACCAACTAAATCAGGATTCTGGTTTAGGAATTAAAATATAATATCTGAACTTGTAAAATGGGAAAAATCTTAAATTAAGGGGTTTGAATAAGGATTTAATTCAAATTTTTATTATAAAAGAATTTTGATCATGAATTAAGCACAATAAACTAAGACCTACTGATGCATGCATCTCCCATTGATGCCATGATGGTAGTCAAATTACCTTGATCCCAAATCTGGGCTTGCATCAACAAGAATCTGCAATCTGCGCCGATGAAAATCCTTCAACTTATCCACATTCACATCTGGCCCGTAATGCCCACTAGAGGGGGGGATATGTTTAGTTCAGAATGTCAGAGTCATATTTATTTCAATATTCAAATGTATAATTCACCTGTACTCTGAGCCATCAGCAGATAAGCACCATAGCTTCCAATGGATGCTGCAACCAGAGCCGATTGTAATTATGTCCAGGGATACCATTCACAGAATCCCAAAGCTATGCAAATTCAATTTATAGAGAACTCTGATACGGTATAATAAAGCTGTGAAAACTGAAACGGGCTTATAAATTCAATTTATTGACCTATACAAATCCTAAGCTATGCAAAATTGAATTTCATTTTCAATGGCAAAAAGAAGCTCTTTTACCTTGTGATGGCAATCTAGCATGACAAGCTAGATATCAGTTTAAATGTCACTCAACCAATCAGATGAATTGATCGCTTAATTCTACAACGTTTTACATTGGAAAACTTTCTGAATATTTAATATCTTAGAATAGGTAGTGATACATTTAGAATAGGTATCTTAGTTCATAGCTTCCACTTTTGACAATTGAGCTAAGCCGATGTGGTTAGAAATTAGTAAGCATACAAACATTACCCTTCCAAATATTAAATACTGACGCCTATGAATGTCCCTTCTAGCAACAACCGGTTATAATCCATTATGTAGCATAATTTGGATCCACTCCACTAATTGTAACACCTTGAATGTCCAAAAATGCTAGGCCATGGAAAGCACTTTAATCAAATTCAATTAACTTGATCGAAATTCTCCACATTCGTGAGTGTACAACAGCCGTTCAATTTTAGTTCTTCGTTTCACGACAGGATAGAAATGCTCAATTGGAACTTAAATTTGAATTCAAGAGGAGTGATCACTTTGGTCCGCATTCACATTCAAATATCCACTTTGAATCCCCAAGTTTTAAATAAACAACAGTAAACATTTTTTTAAAAAAAAGGAAAAACAATGCACTGCAAAAGCCGTTACAGAGTGCAATGGACAAAAGTTTTTCACGTATGCAGTCGAAAAAAGAATAAAGAAAGCTCAGTCCATTAGCATTACAAACCTGGTAAGACGAAGAAACCAAAATATTTATCCCTGCCTCCAAGTACTCCAAATGGCCCTGCGCATTTAATCCAATCAATAAGCACCGATGAGAACGTGATGCACCGAAACAAAGAAGAGGAAAAAAAAAAAGAAGAAAAAAAACAGAAACGGTAAGACATGACCTTCTTGATCAGGTCATGATCATTGATGAGGCAAACGGCGCTCCAAAGTGGATCGTCAATGACAGCGCCGTGTTTCCCAAGCTGCGTGGCGAAACCTCCATCAATCACCGCACAAGCTCCAGCGCCGTGTTTCTTCTCCTTCTCCGGAAGTCAGTTTGTTCAGTGGTGCGCGCCAATATCAGCGTTTCGATGCCCCCGGGGTTAGTGGAGTATGAAACCCAAATCCATTTCCATTTTTCAGATTGATGGGCTCAGGCCCATTCACTATTCTGAATAAAACCCAAATCTTGTTTGATTAGATTAAGCACAAGTAGATAAATTATTCTATATTTAATTATTAAATCGTTTGTTTGAAATGTAAGCAGTAGATTCACCTAACCCTGACCTACAAGGGTGAAGTAAACTAGAGTGACAAAATAATGGGTTGAAAAGGAACTAATGAATAACTGCCCAGCCTACCCATCAATAATAAGTTTGAAAATTAAATTGGGTGGGCAGTATAATGTAGATACTGAAAAGAGATGTGTTCTTGAGAATACCTCAACTTGTGCACCATCATGTTAGCTAGATGCAGAGAACATTAAAGACATTAGGGGATATATAGAAGAACCGGAAGGACTGAACATCGTCAGGCAAAATGGGGCAGATTCAGTGAAAGACATGCAATGGTTGGCTGGATAGCTGCCTCTTCCAGCATCGCAATTCAACTCTCCGGCACTGCCCTTTTCAATTGGAACGCGCGCCTCAGCCTTGGTGGTTGGGAACATATATATATATACACACACAAAAAAATAATACACAGTACCTACTCTCATAAATATTGTTATATAATGTCAAATAACTCACCCCAGTTTGGTATTTGAATAAATGCATATGTTTTGTTAAATCTCTAATCTACCCTTGTACCAAAAACACTTCAAACGAGATGGCTTCACTCCGATATCATTCATGTACCTCTCCTTTGCTCCGATATCATATGCCTGCCAACTCCCGCTTTGGTTCATCCCAGAACTACATTTTACTAGAAAAGGTACCGCTGTAGATAATAGAGATAAGAACAGAGATACCCGCGTGTTCCATATTTCAATAGTTAAATCAAGATGGGAGAGGGACAAGAAATTTGGAGGTCAAAAGTTGGGAACATTTTGTTGTGGACCACCACATCACAATCCCATGGGCTTCAACTTCATACACGTCACATTAACCCTTACAACTTGCTTGAATTACTTAAGACATTGAAGTTATTTCAATTAATACATCAATTTTAATACTTCCCAATGCTATCTAAATTAATCTTATACTCTTATGTTCTTCTTTTATGCTTTATGTGAGTTGATATTCAAATAATCAGTTGGTAATTGAGACAGCTCCTTAATTAGTTGGGCAATTGAGCCGAGTTAGTTAGTTGTTAAGTAGCATTAGTTATAGATTAATTAAAGAAATACATGTTTTACGTGAGTTGATATTTAAAAATAATGACATTAAAGGTTTGTGGAAAATAAGTGATCATTAATTTGGCCCTAAAATCTAGTTGGGCAGAAGAAGTTATGAATTGATTAATATTGTAATTTTGAAAAGAAATGTGTGTGAATAAAAGTGAAGGTTATTTGAGATTATTTTTGGTTGTAGT